GCGGGGGCGGCGGGACGCGCTGCAGCGCCGCGCGGCGGGAAGGGCGGGTAGTGCGGGGGGCGGGCGGGCAAGGAGCGGGAACGGGGGTGCTATGAGCGGGAACGGGGGTGCTATGAGCGGGAACGGGGGTGCAACGGGTGTGCAGCGAGCAGGGATGGGTGTGCAACGAGCGGGAACGGGCGTGCAACGGGAGTGCAACGAGCGGGAACGGGCGTGCAATGGGTGTGCAACGAGCAGGGATGGGTGTGCAACGGGTGTGCAAAGAGTGTGAACGGACGTGCAACGAGCAGGGATGGGTGTGCAACGAGCGGGAACGGGCGTGCAACAGGAGTGCAACGAGTGTGCAACGAGTGGGAACGGGAGTGCAACGGGTGTGCAATGAGCGGGAACGGGTGTGCAACGGCTGTGCGGCGAGCAGGGATGGGTGTGCAGTGAGCGGGGACGCATGTGCAATGAGCAGGAGAGCTGTGCAGTGAGCAGGGATGGACATACAGTGCACGGGGACAGCCATGCAATGCCCGGGTTTCTCGCATGCCCTTACAACGTCCCCCACGCTGGTGATGCAAGAGCAGCGCTGCCCGAGGCCGGCTCCTCAGCAGCCCTCCCGTGTGCACTTGTGCACTCGTGGCTGCAGCCTGGGGTCTTCCGAAACAGCCGCAGCCTCTCTGCTGTGCAACCTGCGGCTGATGCTGCAAGGCCAGCAGAGCTGGTGCATGGTTGGGACAGCGCCGTGGTGGCCGTGTCCCCCTCACACCGAGCCTGGGGACGCCGCATCCCGGCCACACGAGACCCTGATGCCTCGGGAGGCCTTTTCCCCACTGCACGGCCAATCCACACCTTTCCAACTGGCATCCAAACCCAGTGCTGCATCGCGGGCACACACACGGTTGCGCTGTTAAAACACAGCTTTATTTGCTGCTGCTCTGCAGGCTGCAACGGAGCTCATGCACCGTGGACTGCACAAGTGCCGTCACCTCCCGCACCTCCACAAAGGCCGCGTGCTGCTGCCAGCGCTAGGACACGGGTGCCAGGTCGGTGCCGGGGCCCCAGCGCCGCTGCAGCTGGCACAGCAGGGCGGGCAGCAGCGAGTCCAGCACGGGCAGCCCGTCCCAGGAGCAGCGCAGGCCGCTGCGGAGCGCACGGTCAGCCCCATGGCGCCTGCCGGGACCCCGCGACGGCCTGCGGGATCCGCCGCGCCGCTCACCCGCCGTCCAGCACGAGCCAGCCCTGCTCCGCCAGCTCCATGGCCTCGCCTGGCGCCCCGAACACGTCCCAGAGGCTCAGGTGTGGGGAGAACTCCTGCCAGTGCTGCAGACAAGCAAACACATAACAATATCAAAAAAAGAACGCTTTTAAAGAAATCAAAGGTAAATAGCCAAGGCAGGGCTCGCTGCTCACCTGGTGCGTGATGCCGGTGTCAGTGCGCAGCCCCAGGACCAGAACCTCCTCCAGCCTGTGGGGTGGCAGGGGCTGACGGGGACGGCGAGGGCCGGGCGGCGCTGCCGTCGGTGCCACCAACCCCGCCATTGTCCCCGTCATCGTCCCTGCCATCGTCCCCGCCGTCGCCACCGTCCCCGCCATGGCCGCGGTACTCACAGCTGCAGCGGGCTGAGCGGCACGCGCCGCCGCGTGCCGTGGCCGGCTGCCCGCACCTCCCGCATCCAGGCATTCGGTTCAGGCGTCTGCGTCCTGGCCTCACGCTGCGTCAGGCCCTCGGCCCAGGGAACGAAGCGCCCGTGGGCCCCTGCGGGCGGCAGGACAGGCTGCACTGGCCTGGTGCCACCATGCTGTGTCACCCTTTCCAATTGCTGTCAATGCTGTTTTGTGTCGCGATGCCACCATTTTGTGTCATGATGCTGCTATTTTGCATTATGATAATATTTTGCACCGCGATGCCACCATTTTGCATCATGATACTGCTATTTTGAGCTGCAGTAGTGCCATTTTGCACCACGATACCGCCATTTTGTGTCATGATGCTGCTATTTTGCACCGTGAGGCTGCCATTTTGTGTCATGAGGCCACCATTTTGTCTCACGGCGCCGCCATTTCGCACCACAGTGCCGCCATTTTGTCTCACGGCGCCACCATTTCGCACCGCAATGCCGCCATTTCACACCCCGGTGCCGCTCCTTACCTGGCCCCACACCCACGTAGGGCCGTGCCCGCCAGTAGGAGAGGTTGTGGGTGCTGAGGGCTCCCTGCGCACGGGCAGAAGGACATCAGCGCCATGGCACCGCCGCCCATGCTGTGCGCCGTGGCGCCCGCCTCACCTTGCGCGCGAAGTTGGACACCTCGTAGTGCCGGAAGCCGGCGTGCGCCATGGCGGCGCGGGCGGCCTCGTACATGGCGCGGCGGCGGCGCGGGGCGGGCAGCAGCCCGCGGCGCACGCGGGCGTGCAGCGGCGTGCCGGCCTCCAGTGTGAGCTCGTAGAGCGCCACGTGGTCGTCGCAGAGCGGCAGCGCGGCCGCCAGCGCGCGCGCCCAGCCCGCCGCGCTCTGCCCCGGCAGCCCGAAGAGGAGGTCGAGCGACGTGCGGCCGGGGAAGAGGCGCCGCGCGGCCGCCAGCGCCGCCGCTGCCTCCGCCGCCGTGTGGTCCCGGCCCAGCAGGCGCAGCTCGGCGTCGTCCAGGGACTGAGGCGGGGACGTGGGGTGGGACGGTGACATCGTGGCGGGGATGAAGGGTGGGATGGTGGCGCCATCGTGGGGGGGGACACGGGGTGGGACAGTGGTGCAAGCATGGGTGGGACACAGGGTACGATGGCACCGTCATCATGGGAGGGACACAGTGTGGGACGGTGCCATCATGGGGTCATGCAGGGTGGGATGGTGGCACCATCATGGGGGTATGCAGGGTGGGACGGCACCATCATGGGGGTATGCAGGGTGGCACAGAGGCACAGTCATGGGTGGGACACAGGGTAGGATGGCGCCGCCATCATGAGGGGGACACAGGGTGGAACAGTGTCACCATCACGGAGGGGACACACTGTGGAACGGTGCCATCACGAGGGGGAAGCAGGGTGGGACGATGCTGCCATCAGAGCGGGGCCATGGCCACCTCACCTGCACGCCCAGCGAGAGGCGGTTGACGCCGGCAGCCTTGAAGGCGGCGAGGCGGCTGGCGGCGGCCGAGCTGGGGTTGGCCTCCAGGGTGACCTCTGCGCGCGCGGGCAGCAGCGCCGTGCCGGCGATGGCCTCCAGCACGGCGGCCACGGTGCCCGCGCTGGCCAGGCTGGGGGTGCCGCCGCCGAAGAAGACGGAGGTGACGCTGCGGGGCGGCGGGGGCGTCAGGCGCGCGGCGGCAGCAGCGCCCGGTGCCCGTCCGCGAGCGCCCACCTGTGCACGCGGGCCAGGCGCAGCAGCGTGCGCGCCTCGCGCACCAGGCAGGCGCGCACGGCCGCCTCGTCCACGCCGCGCGCCGCGTACTTGTTGAAGCTGCAGTAGCTGCACAGCTGGCGGCAGTAGGGCCACTGCGGGGCGGCGGGGCGCCCGGGAGCCGCTCCCCGCGGTGCCCGCGTGTCAGGGCGCCTGTGCGGGGTGCAGCGCCCGCGCCCCCCGCCCCACACCTGGGTGCATGGCCCTGGGGACCCCCTGCACCCCACGGCCATGCACATGGCCGTGGATGTGCCCCGGACCCGTGTTCATGGTCCTACGTGTGTCCCCCACCCCGTGCACAGCCCCGGGTGCCCACCTGAACCCACTGCCCCGTGCCCCCCTCCTCCTGCACCCCGGGAACCCCCCGCGTGCTCTCCCCACGCGTGTGCAACGGGGATCCCCCCCCGGCACCCGTGCATGGCCCCGGTGCCCCCCCCCCGGCACGTGCAATGCGCGGGGAGCCCCACGTGCCACCTCCAGCCCCTGGGAGCCGCAGGGACCCCCCCGCTCCGAGCCCACGTGTGCCGGTCACGGGGTGCCACACGTGGGCCGTGCACGTGCCCCCCCTGCCGCGCGTGCCCGCCCCGCGCGCGCCCGCCGCTCACGTGCACATAGACCGCGGCCGCGCGCGCCTCCGCGGGGGGCTCCCCGCAGGGCCGGCCCGCAGCAGGCGCCGCCGCCGGGCCCCGGCAGCCCCGCGCCGCCACGGGGAGCCGCGCCACGGGGAACGGCGACACGAGGAACCGCGACATGGGGAACGGCGACATGGGGGCGCCGCGACACGGGCAGCCGCGACCGGGGCGGCGGCGGCGCCGCTCCGCCCCACGCACCGCCCCGCGCAGGCGGAGCCCGCGCCCGGCCCGCGTCCCCGCGTGCGCCGGGGCCTGCCGGAAGAGCCCAGGCCGCTGCTGTGCCGCCCGGTTCGCCAGTCCCCAGGCCTGCAGGCAGCCCCTGGGAGCTCCCTGTGCTGTCCCTGTCCCCGTGTCCCCCCGCATGTCCCCGCGCACCCTGCGCTGGTGCCTTGCCCGGTGGCCCTGGTGAACCCTCCGCTGCCCCAGGTGCCCTGCGGCCGCTCGGCCCCTCGGGCTGGCAGCGGCTCCCGTCTCCATCTGGGACCCGCTTGGGTGGCGGTGCTTGGTACCGTGGAGCTTCAGCTCTGGAAATCCCATTTTCTCACTGTTTGGGGGCATTTGCCCTTACCTGGCTGGGCAGTGCAGTATATAGGAGCTGGAGCCATCAACAACCCTCCCAGAGGGAGGAATCCCTGCGGAGCCAGCCCTGCACAAGAGCGCTGGGGGCTGGACCGGGTGCTTGGTGGGCGCACACAGTAGCAGGGGACAGGGCGGCAACAGGGATGTGAAGGGAAAGGAAAAAGGAGGGATTGGGAAGCGCTCTTTGCTTGTGGAGCGCAGCCGCCCGTTGCTATCCCCACCTGCCCTGTCCCCAGTGACTCCTGGCACCGCCAGCCGGGCGAAGGGCCCTGGGGGAGCCCAGGGTCAGTCACCATGGAGGGCTGGTGCTTCCTCCAGGAGGGGAGGAAAGTGGGATTTCCAGCCTCTCTATTGCTCACTGCTCCTTTTTTTTTTTTTTTTTTTTTTTTTTTGGTAATTTGCTCTATTAATAGAGTTGGAGAAGTGAAAACCCTCTGCGACAGCGGCAGCCGCAGCTTCCCCTTCGCCGGCGGGGGCGCGGGCGGCCAGGAAGCCCCCCTGACGCTCCCTCGTGCCCGCGGGCCGCCCGGCAGCTCCCGCCCGCGCGCCGGGACTTCCCGGGCTCGCAGCGGGCTCCATAAGAGCGCGGGGCGGCCGCGCTGGGGCAGCCGCGCTTGGAGACGATGCCGCTCGCTGCTGCGCTCGCTGCCGCGCTCGCCCTCGTGCCGCCCACAAGCGCTGGCAAGGAGCCCAGGAGCCGGGCAGAGGGGTGCCGCAGCGAGTGCCCTAACGGGGCAGGGCGCTGTCCTGCACCGCATGAACCAAGGCAGAGCAAATGCATGGGACTCCCGCGTCGAGTGAGTACGGAGCACACGGCGGGATCGGGCGGGAAGCGGAGGAGAGGCTCCCCCTCCCCAGGGGCATCCTACCCGCTGCGGTAGGATGGGAAGAGTTCATCCCGTGGGAGGCGAAGGAAGGGGAAAGCCCTTTCCCGAGCCCCCGCTCTAGACACCCATCGCAGCTGCAGGGAGACTGCAGTGGCTGTAATCTGGCACGCCGGTTTTCCTCTAGAAGATGGTTTAAAAGGACTGCTGAAACCACAGCAGTCAATAGCTACAGACTTTCCTTGTGCTAACCCCGGGGGTGATGCCAGCAGCACGGGCAGGGTGAGAGCAGCCCCACCAGCACTTTGGGCAAGGGGAGGCACTGTCTGCACCCAAAGGCCAGAGCACTGCAGGCCCAAACCTGCAGAGTCTGACACTAACAGTCTTGTGCTTGTTTTTTTCCTGCAGAAACCAAATACGAGCCATGGGCCTTTTTACCAAGTGGTCTGCTTCCATGGGTAGAGCCCACGGCCCAGCTGGGAGATCCGATACCACCAGAGGCCTTGCTGACACTTTGCCTTTCTCTTACGCCATTTCTTCCCCTTTCCTGGGGGAGGCACCACCCTGAGCATTGAGCTCCAGCTGTTTGGGAGGAGGTAGAGAGTAAAGAAAGCAGCAAGAGAGACGGCCGGGAGAGCCGGTGACGCAGCAAGAGCAGCGATGTTATCCACTCTCCAGCTGGAGTGGGACACTGCAGCGGGGCCGGCGAGCTCGGCTCCTCACTGCTGTGTTTCATGGTTGGGAGTAACTCCCGTAAAATCACTGTCCCGGGCATAAGCTGCTTTATACTTTGGATGGGACAGGACGTTTGGTATTTCTGTGACGTTTGGTGTCTTAGCTTGTTCAAAACAATAAAATAAAGATGACTAAGTATCTTTTGGAAGAGTTTCTTTTTGCAGTTCAGGGTGCCTGTGGGAGGCCTGTGGCCAGCGTCTCCTCTTTCCAGACAGCTCCTGGGAGCCACTTCCCATGCAAATCCCCACTCTGTGAAGCTCCTACTCTTATTTCAGGAATTCGCTATCAGCTCTGTTATTTCAATGGGCTGTTTTGTATGACCCAAGGGACTCTAGGATCCAAGTGGGGCCTTCCCTTACCTTGGGGAGCCAGGCATGGCTGTTAGGACTTGCAGTGTCAGCTCTGCTCTTGCGGAGGCTCTGTCTGTTCCAGGCCACAAAATCCTCTGACATGGCTGCAGCCAAACTGGTTACACAGACACGTGTAGAGTAACAGGGCAGAACTGCAGAGATAAGCACCCCTTCCTCACACCAAGTATTTCTTTCGGCAAACAAACAAACCCAAGTGGGCAAAAAAGGCTCCTTGTTTTAATAGCTGAAGTGTCACAAGCACCATGTCAGGCAGAGACCTTCTTGGCTGGGCCCAGGTGAAAAGGAGACACAAACCCGGCTGGGGCGGTTCCTATTTATCCCTCTTCAGTTCTGTGTTGCTGAGCTCAGAGCTCAAGATGCTTCTCCATCTGTTCTCTCAACTTGTACTTCTGAATCTGGAACCAAGTGCAGAGCAAAGGAGAGCGTCGCAGAGAGCAGAACAAGCGTTGCCCATGATGCCAGCCCTACCCCAGCGCGGCTCCTACCTTGCCCGAGACGGTGAGCGGATACTCATTCAAGAACACGATGTACCGGGGGATCTTGAAATGAGAGATCTGCAAAGAGAAAGACACAGCTCCACTGCCCGTAAGCCCAGGCCGGGGCTGTGAGGACTGGCTCCCAAGCTCTGACCTGCCGCAGTTCCCTTCGCAAATTTACAGCCGCTGCTGCGGGGCTGAATTATTGGGTGGAAAACCTACCTTTCCTTTGCAAAACATTCTGATCTCTTCCTCCGTGCATTTCTGCCCGGCTCGCAGTCGAATGCAGGCACAGATCTCTTCCCCCATGCGCGAATCCTTGACGCCAACCACCTGGTTGGGACAGAAGGAGACGTGAGCCCTAGGGGACACCGAGCCCTGGCCCGTGTCACTGCACACAGGGGTGGGAGACAGCACTGCCAAGGCGCTCAGAGCTGCCTCCTCATCCCCCGGAGCCCTCCACGTGATCCCTCCCTCCCAGCAGGTCCTGCCAGCAGAGCAGTGTGGCCACACTGGGCTGCTCTCCCTCCCAGGCTCCAGCATCTCTTTGCTTTGCAAAGTCTCTGGGGATTAGTCACTGGAGGGAGGGCTGCCTTAGAGCAGCGAGGCATGATGTCACCTCAGGTATGACTCGGGCCTGCCATCATCTTTCTTTGTGACACTGTTTTTCCAACTGTAAAATTGGGAAATAAGTTTCACAGCTGATTAGAAGCCCTGGGAAGCTTATTCAAAATACTTTGAATACTTTCCTCCACAGGAAACAGCAGGAGAGGGATAAAGTAGAAAACCCCTATGGCGGCAGATCTTAGCGGACCCTTCCCTCTGTTATCAGAAGATCAGATCATTTGATGTGACAGTCGGGCTTCCCAAGCCTGTTCCCTCACAAATTTCCTCGAATAATTTCCCAGGAGACTCTCTCACCATTCCCCACCTTGAGCTGCTATCTCACAAACCTAGAGACGTGTCAATTCCTTTGAATCCAGGACAGTGACATAAAGCCCGAGAAACTACATAAACAGGTCTGGTTTGAAACCCATCTGCACTGAGATTATTCCAAGGGGAGACGCTAGCCTGGCGCAGGCGCAACACTTACTAAATAACTGCTTTATTTATGGGGAGACTTGTCTGGCACAAAACCTGGAGGAGAACAATCCCAGCAGATTGAGAGCAGCTGCTAAACGCCACGAATCATTTCTTGTGAACAGATGAAACGACGTCTAACTCCTCATCTTCAGGAGCCCGTTGGAAAAGTCTTTTCTGATTTCAGATTTTAGTAATTAATTATCAGGAAAAAAAAATGTCTCTTTCTACTGCTTTCTAGATAAGATTTTGAAGGAGCTATGGAAGCGGACATGGAGAAAAAGATCAGAGGAAGTGATTTCTGCCACTTTGCAGATGTGAAGCCGATTCGTACGGAGTCTGTCCAGTCTATGTGCCCAATGCCCAATATAAAAACAGACCCATAAGTTCTGCTTGCCTGTTCCATGTCATGAGCTTGTCCCTCCTGGTTGACAACTAAGGTCACAAGAAAGGAGAAGCTGAAAACAGGTGAAGACAAGCAGGTCCCAAGCAGCCATCACGATGGCTGATGTCCTGCACAGGTTTCCCACAGCATCAACCATCTCTTCTTGCCCAGCGCCCTCCCTCCCACTCACCTGGACCTCCTCAATCTTGGGATGAGTGTGGAGAAACTGCTCGAGTTCTGCCGGGTAGATGTTCTCTCCTCCCCGAATAATCATGTCCTTGCAGCGACCTATGATTTTGCAGTAGCCATGCTCATCCAAACTCGCAATGTCCCTGCAACAACATCACAAAGCTGCTGCTATCTCAGCGAGGTGGAAGAACGACTGATCCACCCAGCCACTTTGGTCAGCAGCATCTGGATGGGAAAGCTGAGGTGCCCATGGATGTACTCTGCTTTCTGAACCCTGAAAAGAAAAATCCTGTGAAGATCAGAGGCTTTCTGCAACAGCCAGACACTGTGATCATCAGCAGAAACATTTGGTTTGGGGAGGATTTCTTCCAAGGTCAACCCTGTCTCCCAACACGTATCCCCAGTGCCCTTCTGTCAGAGGAAGACCACAACTGCACCAGCAATGAAGCAAGTGTCTCCATCTCCAGGGGCAGCTCACAACAAGGGCTACAGGCTGTTCTGAAGTTCATGGAGATGGACTGATGAATTAGAGGGATACATTCGTTCTCCTTTCCCTGCTATGGAAATCGCTGCCAAACCACTCATAGATATACATGTCTCCATGTATATCTGTGGCACCCTGCAGGACAGGCTGAGAAGAGAAGGGAGGTTTCTGGACTCACCCAGTCTTGTACCACTTATCATCGGAGACCACCTCGCTTGTTTTGGCAGGATCATCCCAATAGCCCAGCATGACACAGTAGCCACGGACCTGAAGTTCCCCAGGAGTGTTCAGAGGTACAGACTCCCCTGTAGCTGGATCCTCGATTTTTGCCTGCAATGGAAGAGAGCCAGGGCCTTCCAAGAGCTAAGCCAGTGCTATGGCACAGAGCAGCCCCAGCATCAGAGGGAGCACGAGCTGAGGTCTGCTGTGAATGGAGAATGTGGAGCAAGTGGAAGGATCATGTTCACCTCTGTGTGGGGGAAGATGCATCCCACGGTCTCAGTTTTTTTGTCAAAGTTGTCATCTGGGAATCCCATGAAGGTGACAGGGCTGTTTTCCGTGGTTCCATAGGCAACCTGCAAATACAAGAGGAAAAATATTCCTCAAGAGGAAAGTGCAGCTCTAGATCTGGGAAAGATGAAGCTACTGATGCACCCATCTAAGAGCTGGGGTGCAAGGAGGGTGTTTCCACAAGTCATTCAGACTGCAGGCAAACCCTTTGCTGCCTTGGCCCTCCAAAGGGGATCTCTAGATACTCCAACCAGCAAGAAAAGCTCTTCAAGCAGACAGGAGGCTCAAGTTCCTGAATTTTGGCCTTGTCCTCCAGCCTCCCACCACCCAAGACACTTTGGGTGCCATTTACTCTAGACCATCCACCGGCTTTTCCTGGAGGACCCTAGGTTTTGCCCTACTCTTTCTTTTACCTCCACATGTCTCCCCAAGGGCTGTCCTGTTCGCTCCTTGCCACCTCCATCAGCTATTGCTTTGCCTTTGTGCCCTCATAGCCTCAAGCTGCACTTAGTTCACCTCGAATCTCCTACAACTGGGGGTGCTCTGGAGAAAAAAGTGCCTTGGAAAAAATCCTGGAGGCGGCAGAGGGCTCCCGTGGGAGACAGTCCCCCCTGTGGCTGTTTTCCCCAATTCCCCCTGTGCAGACATCAGCTCCTGTAAACCTCAGCGAGCGCTCGGTGCAGCTGCTTTTCCATCCAGAAGCATCACAGCAGGACAGAGGCTTCTCACCGCGAGAATTTTTTCGCTGCTAATCCCAACAGCAGCCTCTGAGTCACTCGATCTGCAGGTCACTTCTCCTCAGAGGAAAATTCCAGCTCTTTATGCCCAATTTGCAATTTGCCCAATGTGATCTGCCGAGTTCACCAAGTCAGAGGTGCCCTGGGAAGCTCGAGCAGCAGCTCCCGGTGCTGTTGCTGTGAGAGCTGCATCCGCTCCCATTCCTGCGAGCCGTGTCGCAGCGCCGGGAAGCGCCGGAGGCTGCTCCAGTCCCCGCAGCCCCGAGTCCCGCGGGTGCCGGTGCTGGCGGCTGCTTCACTGGGAAGCTCGGCCGGGCGAGGGCCGGTGCCAGCGCATCGCTCACCTGTGCCCGGCATCCTGCAACTGAGCCCACGGGCCCCTCCGTCCACCTAACGGGGCACATGGTGACGTTCCTGCAGCCCCGGCACACGGCTCCGGCTCAGCCTTCAGGAGCACACGTCAGCAAGGACCCTGCGGAGGCCCAGGGCCCGCTCTGGTCCAGCACCCTGCAGCTGCACAAGGAGCCCCTTTGGGGTTTTGGGTGCTCCTTCTGGGCTGCACAGCTGCTCAACCTGTGACTCGAGGGGCATTCTCCAAGCCAGAGGTCCAGAGGAGACTGTCCCCCCAGATGCCGCAGGGACCATCTGGTGGAAAACTCTGCCAGGAGTAGCCCGGCAACCCAAAGCAGCAGCTGTAAACAGGCTTCTCCGGGCAGCCCTTCTCACAGCTTAGCAGCTGGGGAGGAAACCTAGTGCCTAATGCTCCCAGAGGATTTCTTTCCCACCTGCTAACGTGGCTGGATCAAACGACTGAC